ATAGAAAACAAGCAGAAACCAAATACCTTTACCTAGTAAAGTTAGATAATTTTCTGTGCGATTATTTCTATAGAGCTATATATATATATGGATATTTAGTCTGATATTATGCATTTGAAGTTGTTTTCTAGAAAAAACAGTTACGAATAACGGACTTGTCGCGAAAAGAGCTTTAGTTCTAAAAGATTGTTCCTTTGATATTCATATATGGAATGTTGAGAGAATATAAACACACCAAATATGTATCCTATTCTCCATTCTCCTGTGAAATATTCTGGAGCTAAGCATACTTTACATTATGCATAAAGAATATAGCTCAAAAGCGATCTATATTTATCGATCGAGCAGCTCTCGAGATCGATGCGTTCGCAACCAGACTGAAAGGCAACTGAATGTGGTTAGATACTGATCAAGAATATATATACTTGACAAATCAGACCAAAGCTAAAGTTTTGTGAATGGAAATCTGTGTGGTACAAGCATTGCACTTAACAGAATGTGAACGAGCTATGTTAAGTTATTGTGTGTGCTGTTAAGCGGCTGTTACGAAATGGCGCGCTGTTATGTTAAACTTATGTTGTAGCTAGAAACAATGTTGTCAGCAGCTCATTGCGATTTCACGTGATATTTTCTCCGTTTTCTATTAGATTTAGCAACTGTGTGAGTCTGAAAAATTTGAAATTTGAAATCCGAGCAGCTGAAGCGCATGTCACGCACAGCAACAAAAACAATGAGAACAACGTTTGAGTGCTACGTGATAACTGGAATATAATTAAAGTGTAGTCAAATATCGCAAGCTGGGGCTGGGCTCGCATTTGGGCAGCCGCGTTTCAATCAAAGGCTGGACGCATGAGAGCTGCACAAAACAGCATCTGCGACGGCAACAAAAGCTAAAAACAAAAAAAAAAACATATATTATTTTGATGGCCGTGCGCAGAGAAAGTCACGATTTACAGATGGAAAAAAAAAATCAGAAAACAAGCGGCAAAAATAATTACAACTACCTTTTTTTTATATTTTTCATTATTATTATTTTTTTTAAGAGCAACAAGCTGTAAAACAAGAAGCAGCAGCAACAGCCGCCGAAGAACACGCAACACGCTTAAAAATTGCTTGCAATAAAATTTGTTTATTTAATTTTAATTTTTTTTTTTTTTTTGCTTGCTTGTTTTGGTTTTTCTTCAAGCAACAATTTCTTGAAAAAAAAAGTGTTTTAACGACTTCTTTGGAAATTTGAGCTTTAATTTTGTTTTTGTATATAAATTAAAATCATGAGCCATGACAGCGGCGGTCAAGGCACAGACGACAGCCAGAAGCAGTTGTTGTTGTTGTTGTTGGTCTTCTTTTTCAATTGTCAACGCGAGTGGGCGTGGCCGGAAGTGGCAAGTGATTAGAACTAATTGCCAGGTAAACAAGTCGCCGCCGCTCGGGTTCAAAGTCAGGTGAAAGGCCAGTCAAGAGTCGCTACGCTTTCCCTGGCCCCGCCGCGCTCCTAGCTAAAGTGGAAGGTGGTGAAAGAGAGAAAAAGGGCGAGAGAAAGAGAGAGGGGGAGGAAGTATCGCTGTCTGTTATTGTAGCTGCCAAATAATTTGCTGCCGCTCGGCTTGGCGATTATCATTGTAATTGTGCTCAATGCGGTTGCGATATTGCGGCTATTTTTGTGATTAGCCAGCATCGCATCGCACAGCTCAGCTCGGACAACGGACAGCGGACGTGTGCATCTAACACAGATGCCGACAACAACAACAGTAACGACGACGGCGGATGTGAATGACGGTTCACGAATGACGAATGACATACTGGAACGCACGGACGGATGCTGTTGATGAAAGCCGAATGACGCTCGCACTCTCGCCTCGGAATGCCTTTTCATGCCGTTGACAGCGGCAATCGATTTGATGACTTTGATATTGGGGGTAGTCCATTATTGAGCTATCGATAAGCCAGCGAATTGTGTTGCTCGGGCCAGATCGGGCAACTGTCACTCAAGAATGTGAAGAGCTGTTAAATTGCAGTCCATTTGCCCAGCCTCCTGTCAATCAAATGTCAAAATTGTCAGCCAGTTGACGTTCTAAGCCTTACAAGGTGGCAACGCTGCAAGCATATGTAAATGCTTGCCAGATCGATGCTTATCACTTTGATATTTTATCGATAACTTATCGATTGTTCATGTCATACAGTCGAGACATACTTTCTCACATGTCGCTGACAAGCAGTTATATTGCTTTCCATGTTGTTCTACAACTTTTGTTAACCAAATGTCAAATTTGTCAATCAGTTGACAACTGCCTAGCTCCACCTTCTTAATGCTGCCAAGCACATGCTTGACTTATCGATAAGTTAACGATTGTTGATGTAACGCTGTAAAAATTCCTATCTCACGCCCGTGCCAGTTTTTATAAGCATAAAAAACTAACTTCACGTTTAACAACATGTTAATTATTTGCATGCAATAACGAGTCTCAAACTTGACAAGTTCTTTTTGATTAATCAATTAATCAATAGTGCTGTATTATAAATATAAAGCTGTTTGATTGATGGGCAGATCGTTTATCAAGCTGCAAGCAAAGGGGGTCAGCACTTTTTTTTAGCAGCTGCTTCTTTTTCACATTTCTTGGCAGCATGCAAAAAGGTTGTATGAAAAATGTTGAGTATGTGAACGGAAAACTGTTTTTCTTATGCAGAAAAACGAATGTTAAACTTAAGCAATAAAGCCACGCAGGCAAAAAGTTGGCTAATATCTATTTTCCGAGCTAAGTATAATAATTGATACTTTTGACAGGCTAACAGATAGCTCACAAATACTTTTAACAGAGAACGATTTGTTAACAGCTTTCAAAAGTAACATTAGTATTGACTTTTAAAAAACACCTTACACTGTTAACAGTTGTTTGCCTAACGCTTCATAGAAATGTTAGCAAAAGAAGGCGCTGCACTAACAAATATTTAACATGTCATAGATACGTTAATTAGAGCTCTTTAACAATTATTTAACATGTAATAAGAATGTTAAGCAGAGCTGTCTATTTAAATATAACAGTTGCTTAGCAGATCTTGGATATGTTAAGAAGAATGTTAATTATTTATTGTTTAAAGTTGCTTAACATATCAGGGAAATGTTAAGAAGTGAACGCGAGGCACTTACAGTTAGACAACATGCGATAAGAATATTTTTTAGAGCTATATTCAGCAAGCTGCCTAACATGCTTTAGAAATGTTAATTAAAATTGTGTAACATTGTTTGAAAATGTTAACGAAAGTGCGCTCACTGTTAGCTTATCAACAGCAGCATCATCTGGGCTCCAGCGTCAGCTCTTACCTAATGCCCGCTGTCGAAATGCCTAACCTCAATCGTAAATATGAGTAACATAAAATTCGCATAGGCAATGTTCGGATGTCATAAACCGATATATGTACATATTATGTATATATGTAAGTAATGTACAACGTAAAACAATTTGCCGCCACGTATTTATCATCATTTAGTGGCGCCTCCGAATGCCCGCCAAAGTGCGGCCCTTCCGCTGCAACAAGTTTGTTGCCTAAGTCTTTCGTTTGTGTTGTGCCTTTTGCCTCGACTCAGATCGGATCGGATCGGATCGGATGGCAAGTGTCTTGAACTTTTCGCCCGGGCTACCATTTGGGCATTATGAAAGATCTGCGAGCACAAAATTGATTTATAGAGCCACATAAACAGTTAATAAATACGCTGTAAATCACAGAAAACAACATGATGGATCGAATGCGAATGGAAATGGGAATGGAAGTGGGAATGCAAATGGCAGGCTTTAAAGAAAAACAAAAAAAAAAAAGCAAAAGGAAAACAAAAACGAAAACGAAATTCATCTGGAAAAGTAATACCTCAAATTGTGTTGTGCATAATTTCAATAATAAATTTCTATAATTTTCAACTTGTTTGTTGCCTGTCGATTTACGACGGTTGCTGTTGTTGTTGTCGGTTGCTGCAAGTGAAGCGTAGAATTACGTGAAAGAAAAGTGAAATTATGCAGCGAATACGAAGCGCGGCAACAAGTTGCTGTTACAGTTGCTGTTGCTGCTGTTGTCACAGTTATTGTTGTTGCTGCTGCCTGTGTGTTTGTGGTGCGTGAAAGCAGCTAAAAGCGTTTTGAGCATCGCCTCATTCGATGCGTGCGACCCAAATTTTGAAATTCAATTGCAAGTTCAAGTTTTCTATATATCTGCAATACCCTTTAAAGCGTTGCGCATTGTTGTCATGTCAAATCGATCTGGTTGGGCCTTGAGCAATCCGAATTCTTTCACATTATGTTTTCATCTATTTTCCACGCATCTAAGTGAATATCAAAACTCATTTGTTGCGCTTAATTTGCTTTAAATAGAATAAATAGCCTGCAATGCAATGAAATGTGTTATGTGCAGAGGATGAAACCTCTTGGACCCCATTAAGTATATATATTCTCGATCAACAACAAGTTGATAACATGTCTATCTATCTGTTTCTCAGCGTTCAAGTCTCTCAGCTCTCTCAGTTTTGAGATTTTGTTTCAGGCAGTATGTATATGTCGGAATCTGTCGGATCGGACTACTATATCATATGGCTGCCATAGGAACGATCGGTCGATAAGTAGCTTCTTGTGTGGACAACTTTGTTGTTTAACAAGATAACTTCTGAGTTGCTTATTTATTTATTACAAGATCGTCCGACTATATTATAGAAGAACCGCTACGAGCCTCGACTTTTCACATATGTTAAGATAAATGTCTGCAATGGGTATTATAAAAAGAGGTATTCGAAACTTTTCAAGCGAACTCAGTTGTTTTTTACCTTTTGTAGGGCATCTAAAGCGTCGACTTAGATTCAATTTGTTGTCTTTCCTGCTGTTTGCTTCTGCTTTAAGCATATTCTTTCACCTGCCAATTGGCACTCAACGCACGTCCATCCAAACGCCCGCAGCTCACCTTTCGCTCTTTTTCTTTTACTTTTTGCAGTCGCGCCTGAGGCAGCAGCAGCAGCAGCTCTCAATTGGCCGGAGATTATGATGATGATGATGTCGTCGGCGTCGGCGTCGGCATCGACAGACTGCAGCAGCAGCAGCATGCAGGGATCGACAACGAGCAGCGCCTCGAGCGACGTCATGACGCTGACCACCACGGCGGCCTCCTCATGGTGTGCAATGCCGGCGAGCACGCGGCTGCGCGTGGTGCGCCTGGTGCGTCCGCATCAGCGCCGACTGCTGGTGGTGCCGGAGCGCAGCGCCACGTTCGGGTTTGCGGTGCGCGGCGGCAAGGAGCACGGCATCGGCTTCTTTGTCTCGCACGTCGAGCACGGCGGCGAGGCGCAGCTAAAGGGATTGCGCGTAAGTGGATCAGTGGATCAGCGGGTCAGCGGGTCAGTCACGTAGCACGCACCACACCCGACTACGTGACTGCCGCCGCCCAGTTGAACGAACTCACTGCGCTCACTTTTTCGCTTTTGCCATCACGTCTCCTCACAGCTCGGCGACCAGATCTTGCGCATCAACGGCTATCGACTGGAGGATGCGGTGCACAAGGAGTTCATTCAACTGGTGGCCAGCCAGGATCGGGTCACGCTCAAGGTGCGCGGCGTGGGCATGCTGCCAGTCAAGGAGTAAGTCCCGATTAAACTAATTGCACAAACAGAATGCTCTAGTCGGGCATGCTCGACTAGCATATACCCTAAACTCAACGCCAAGCTGCTGCAATTGTTTTTATTGATGAATCTCCGTGTTTATTGTCCGATCTTTATGCAATTTTTGACCTAAAAGAGGACTGATTGCCTCCGCTTTTTTGGATTCATGGTAAAAATAATGATTAAGATGTAACATCGTGTGGGGCAGATCTCGATGAGTGCAGTTGAATCATAATTTGCTCCAAACCAAACTCTAATGAATGTCAATTTTGCAGTCAGCCGGATGAGCGGCTGTCGTGGAACGTGGTGAAGCTGCCCAGCGTGAGTGGGACGCCCTCGGAGAGCTCGTTCAAGGCGTCGACGGAACGGCGCACGGCCAGCCGGGACATCAATGTGGTGCTGCATGTGGCGCCACGCACCAAACTGGGCCTGGGCATCTGCAAGGGGCCCGAGTGGAAGCCGGGCATCTTTGTGCAGTTCACCAAGGAGCGGAGTGTGGCGCGCGAGGCGGGTCTGCGGCCGGGCGATCAAATTCTGAGCGTGAACAGCATCGACTTCTCGGATGTGCTCTTCAGCGAGGCCGTCGCCGTGATGAAGGGCTCCAGCAAGCTGGACATGGTGGTGCGCACCGCCGCCGGCTGTGATCTGTTTCCCGGCGAATCGAGCGGCTACAACAGCTCCGCCAGCTCCGTGACCGGCGATCAGAGTCCCTGCTGGGCGGACGCCAAGTCTAAGCGCCTGACCGCGGTGCGCGAGGAGCCCAGCCAAGCGGCCGGCGCCGTCCACGTGCAGAAGCAGCTCAACAAGACGATCATCAAGCTGACCGAGAACGGCACCTCCATCAACAGCACCTACATAGCCAATGCCAGTCAGCAGCAGCAGCAGCAGGAGCAGCTGTCGGTTAGCCGCAGCACCACAATGCGACGCAGCTGCTCGGTTTCAGCGCCAGCTCCACCGCCGCCAGCGGCAGCTGCGCCTAGCAACGGCAACGCTGCAGCAGCTGGAGGAGGAGCAGGAGCAGGAGCTGGCGCCAGCAACAGCAGCAGCCTCTCCAGTGCCATAAACGAGGAGCTCAAGAAGCGCAAGGAGGTGAGCTGGTTGCTATACCCTGTAATCCTCTATCAGTTTTCTTTTGTGTTTATATCTCGAAGATTTAAAGAACTACGAATGCCAAACTTTGTCTGGCTGCTTCTCTACTCAATGCAGATGAAGTTGAGTTCGTATTTTTTGTGATAATCGATACTTTTATTAATAATCGATAAATATCGATTATCGGCAAGCCTTCAAATTTGGCATGTCTGTATGAGGAATCTTTGATTTCATGCTTTAACTTTGCGCGACCCAATCTTGATTTTGTTTACAGGGCAACCACTAGTCGGGCACTCTCGACTAGCGACTTGTAGGCACAGGCAGCTAATTGTGCGTCTTTCTTGCAGAAACAGCAGCAGCAGCATCTGGTGGGGCAGCGGAGCAGCTGTGGCAGCCACTTGAGTCGCGATCGCGATCGGGCCAGAGATCGCGATCAGCGAACTGAAGAACGGCCGCACAATGGCGCCGGCCGCGGCAACGTTGCACAAGTGTCGCACAAGCGCGAACGCAACACAAGCGCTGCCGGTGCAGCGACGGCGACGTCGACGTCAACGTCGACTTCGAATGCGACGTCGACAGCGGCTGGCGTTGGCGATCAGCACACGGCGCTGATGGATGAATTTAAGCGCGCGCATCAGCGCATGTTCAGGAACGGGTTCCATGAGAGCGAGCACAAGGTGAGCCGGCACACACACACACACACACACAGCCTGTAGCTGTTGTTGTTGTTGTTGCTGCTGCTGCTGCAGTTGCATTGTTGCAACACACAAAAAAAGCAAACCCGCAGCAGCGGCAACAATGGCTACTTGCAAAGGTCAAGAGAGCTGCGCACTGCACTTGTTGTTCTTATTGTTGTTGTTGTTGTTGTTGTTGTTGGTGCTGCAGTTGATTGTTAGCCATGTGAAGTATTTGTTAGCCACTTGACTCGAGTCAAGTGAATGAGGGCACAACAACTGGCTATGTGGGAAAGAGATAGAGCGAGAGAGAGGGCGGCGGCGGGGCGAAGCTAAACAGTCGCCGCAACTGCAAATTGGGTCTTTCCTCGAGCCCCATAGATAAGCCTAATTGCTAGGCACTACAAAAAGAAAATAAGTAAATCAATTAATATACAGTAAAAGCTCTTTAAAGCGAACCAATACCAATACCATCCACTCTTCTGCTAAGTTCTCTTTGAAGAAAAGAGAAATAAGCACATTTATGACATTTTTATGTTTGTGATAAATTAAATAAGATGCTGGTAGTTATGGAATTGTGCGTTTGCTGTGCATATTCCTATACCCTGTAATCCTCTATGGGACTATACCCTATATAGATCTAAGTTCAAGATGTTAAGCTAATCCAAGCTGATCCCCATTTGTCTGTCTGATCAGATTCAAGTTTCGTTCATGTCAAACGCATATAAAATACATTTCCGAATATCAATAATTATTTCAAGCTTTCGATTAGCGACAATAAATATCGTTATAGAAACCTTTATTCATTCATAACTTAAAACTCTGTTAATAACAAATCAAACTAAGTGTTGGTTAACGATCAAACTAAGCTTAAGAGAAACCAGTTCTCAAAATCGATATTTATCGATTGAACTATCGTTCGTCGTATTTCATATTACATCACTATATTTTCTTGATTGAATAGATTAATGGATAATGTATATCTATGCTTGATATGTACAGAGAGATTTCCCTCCGTCAGTTAGATTTATAGCACACCAATATTAGAAACACCCATTTTCCATGGGCTCAGCTCGCTTAAGAGTTAGGCCGCCATAAATAGGCCACTTTATGTGCAAAAGTTAGCAAAACTAATTAAGCCCGAACAAGTAGATGGTGTATGCACAAATTGGCTGTCCGCTAGTAGAGCTTTCACTGTATTTTTACTTGCCTATTTATTCTCTGAACCCATTGAATATGGGTCAGAAGGGTATACTGTTTTTTTGCCAATGTATGTAACAGGGCGAAGGAAACAACTACGTATCCATAAAGTATATATATATACTTCATCAGCATCAATAGCCGAGCGCTTCGATCTCAGAACTTATAGAAATCTAGCTCAATTGCAATTAATCGATAAAAATCGATATCGAAATTCTGTTTTTTGTGCAAATCTCGTAAACTACAAGAGCTGGAATCACCAAACTTGACATGCAGCTTCTATAATATATCAAGTATCTTCCACTTTATATCAATCACCCCTCTCCCCCCCTCCCTCCCCTCTGCTCCTAGCACGAGTTGCATTTGATGTTGGTGGAGGAAGGTGCAGGGTATCCCCTAGTCGGGCACTCCCGACAAGAGCACTTTAAAATATGTTTTCTTTTTGTTTATTTGTTCTCTGAGAGATACAAAAAAGTACTTCATTTTTATCGGTCAATATGCTTATAAAATCAAAACAATTCCAAAGTCTCGCAGATTGTTGAGTCAGCACGACAAATATCAGCTATTGCCATTGATCAATATATATATATCTTTATATATATCTTAAATATATATATATATATATATATATATATATATATATATACTTTTTTGTTTTCAGCGCACATTTGCACAATTTTATGATGTCCTTTATTGCCTAGTTGCGCGCGCAAAGCGAAATGAAAGTTATTTGATTTCTAGTGAAAAATAATAATAAATGCCTCAACTAATCTAAAGTGTTTGGCTAAGCGATACCCTGCCGCAAGTGCGCACGGGGCATATGCATGCATGACATGTTTTGCACACATTATTTCAATAACCTGCCCCAAAACCGAACTTCAAGCGAACTTTATCGTTAACCAACTTTAGTTAGAACAGTTCCTCAGATAAACACGTTTGTCACTTTTAAAGAGACAAACATGACGACAGACATGAAGATATAGATAAGATTATATTTGATTTAGTTGGTAGCACATATAGATATACTTATGTAGCTAGATGACATATGTATAGATATATATATAGATATAGACAAGCAGGAAGTTGGCAAAATCGGATAACTATATCATATAAAGTAATAGTTTTTGAGAATATAAGTTGTTGTAAAAGAGAACTTCAAGAATTTGTAGCCAAAATCTTAACAATCCCTGACGTATATATCCCTTAGATATTTAATAGTTCGAAAACTAGGTTTTTGCATGGAAAACTTTGTTTTCCCCTTTTTTTTTTTAATATCCTTACCAAAATCAACCAGTACGAGTTTTCCTTATTAATCCGAGCCTAACAGGCTGTAAATGCCTTTAATATATGTATACAATCGGATCAATATCGAACTTCTATATCATATAGCTTTTACGATTTTGTTGACTTCCAAATTCGTAGAAAAATCGAAAAAAGTAGAATATTATTCTTCATTTTAATATATTTGTCTTCAAAATTCGTAGAAAACTCGATATATTTATATAGCTTGATATAGCTAGGCTCAGCTCTAAAAATAGATAATAAAAAAAGCAAGCATATATTTAATTTTTTTTTTTTGAGCAAAATGTCAACATGGAAAAAAAAAGTAGGCAACTTTCTGCTAATAATTTAGTTTATGAAATTTAAAATAATATTTAAATAAGTCAAAGAATTTAGCTGGTTAGGTTTCTAGCTCAATTCCTATCTATTTATACGAACTGTTAACGAATTCTGGCTAAATTTTAAATGTATACACACACACACACACCCGCACACACATCCGCACACACATTGATGTTTGTTTTGTGACCTTGTCACTGGGTTTTTTTTTCTTTTGAAACTAAGTTTGCGTTTGACAATTAGTTGGCTTTCCCTTTTTGTTGGACAGCGTTTCGTCTCATTGCAGCAGCAGCAGCAGCAGCAGCCACCCGCAGCACCAACACAATGACTCACCACACAAGCAAATAGAGTGCGAGTGTGTGTGTGTGTGTGTGTGTGTGTGTGTGTGTGTGTACGCTGCTCAATGGGCCGCTTGTTATCTTATCAGCTGCGACAGGTGAGCTGCTGCCGCCGTCGCCGCCAACGCCGCTGGCGCAGCTCAAGCAGCTCGCATGCCCGGGCGTCCAGTCTAGCGAGCGATTTGCGAGCGACAACAGCTGCAACAGAAGCAGTCAGAGTCAGTCAGAGCAGAGTGATAACAGCGGCAAGAAGAAGAATAGGAACTAGTCAGAGCTAAATATCCGACATCTGAGCCATGAGTTTGCTACGTCCCAAAAATGTGGGCGGCAACAGCAATGAGGGGCGTGCCAGCGATATGCCCACCATGCGACCAGTCACCATGGGCCGCCCCCTGGTGACCATGTCCACCTACGAGGTAGCCCAAGCCAGCCAACCAGCCAGTCAATCAACCAACCATCCATCAAACAATCAATCAATCAATCAATCAGTGCAGCAATTAAATGCTTAAAGTGTTGTTTTTTTTGTATGTTTATTGTTTTTAATTTTCATTTGGCTTTTGTCTATTTGCAGGAGCGCGGCGAGACGCTGAAGCGCACCTCGATTATGCCCGATGATAGCTGCTATCGCAGCAACAACAACAACAGCAACAGCAACAAGAGCCACAATAATAATGGCAACAATATTGCCAACAACGGAAGCAATCGTATGTCGCTGCTTAACGGCAGCAACAACTACAACAACAACAACCACAACAACAACAGCAACAACCACAACAACAACAACAAGAGCAACAACGTGAATGGCACGCCGGAATTACCGCCGCCGGTAAGTAATTGCGCCTAGGGCCATAAATTGCAATACAAATTTGCTGCCAACTGCGCAGCTCGCAGCTAGTTAGAGCGAGAGAGGGCAGAGAGCAAGCGTGAGAGTGAGATGGCAAGAGAGCTGGAAGCTTTCGACGAGCCTAATTGCATTCGGGCAAATGCATTTAAACGAATCAGTTCCAGCTCATTTGCCTATGTAGATTGTGAACCGAAAAAGGGAACCGAACCGATAATGTGTTTCGGTTCAGAAATGTCAACTGTTGGGCACAAAGCAGCTGCAAAGTCTACACAGTTGCTTGTAAAATTATCCTGCTTGTAATGTTTGCTGTAAAAGTTGAAAAGTGGAAGTGAAAAATGGCAAATTTACAAACTAAACTTATAGCAGAATGTTGATTCGAACCAGTGTAAATTTACTGATAAACCAGCTTCCCAAGCTGTACTAAGGGTGAGAGTACTGGTTCGAACCAGCGGCAATTTTAGTGTGCTTTACTGTACCAGATAGTTGGCACTTGGGAAGGACAACTGCATTATTAACAGAAGGAGGGACTCTCTCTTGAGGGACATCTGCATGAGTTGTCATAGTAAAGCTTAGGCAGCTGTCCGTTAGTAGAGTTTCCACTGTACATTCGCCTGCTGTTCATCTATTCTTCTGATATATGTTCTTTGACTTTAACAGAAACTATGTGCGCATGCATAAATGCAATTTATTTCTATCTGTAAATCGTAAAATTTGTATAATTATATATTTTTATATTTATAATCTGTACAATTGATAAGCACGAATTTTTATCTGGTTCTATTTTGCCGCACACATTTAACTAGAAAGTTCTGCTGCATTTATTTTTTTTTTTTTACATGCTGGCAATATTTTTTGGTATTTCTGGAATGTTCTAAATTATGCCAGTTCTAATTTTCGAGTGAACCCTTTGCCGTATATAAGTCTGCCTTGGTGCTGTCCATCGAAAGCTTTTAAAACTCGATCCATTTGTTTATATATGTATATATATATATATATATTTATTTTTTTTGTTTATGTATATTTACAATACAACTTATTCTACTTATTCTACTACTACATTAGAAATTAAAAAGATAAAAAGAAAGATATATGTTTGTTATATATTTTTGCATTATTTGACTACAGGGTATTTGAGAGTCGACTACATCACACTCGTATTGAATAGACAGATTTTGGCCACGCTGGCAACTCTGTGCATGATATGATATCTAGCTCACACTCTATTTATATATTTACTTATCTTTCTTTTTTTTTGTCACTCTGCCGCTCCCCCTCTGTCTGTCTCTGCTTGCAGCCGCCACAGTTTGCCAATCCCCAAAAACAACAACAGCAGCAGCAGCAGCCGCCGCCGCCACCGCCGCAGCAGCAGCAGCAGCAGCTGAAGCTAAACATAGCCAATGGCAATGGACAGCAACTGGCCGCCAGGAGCAAGCAGCTGACGTCTCCGTTGTCGCCCGTGCGCAGTCCCAGCATCAATGTGGGCGGCTTTCGTGCGCCAGCCACGCCCCAGCCGGACTACGAGGCAGCCAGCGTGCAACTGCGCAGCAATGGACAGCCAGCAGCAGCAACAACAACAAATGGCAGTCAGCAGCAGCAGCAGCAGCAGCAGCAGCGACTCACGCTGCGGCATGGAGCGGTAACCATAGGCGAGTACGGGGAGCAGCGGGGCAAGCGTGAGACGCTGCGCAAGATGCCAGCGAATGCGAATGCGAATGCGAATGCGATTACGAATGCAAATGGCAGCGTCCAGACGAACGGCATACTCAAGAATGGCAGCCGCAGCAGCAACAGTTTCGTCGGCAGCAGCAGCAGCTACAACAACAACAACAACAAGAACGGCAGCAGCAGCAGCAGCGTCAGCGGCAGCAACAACAATGGCCGCCAGCAGATGCAGCAGCCGGAGAAGTCCATTAAATTTGGCAATTGACTGTGGGCGGCAAATTAGCTGTAAAACATTTGTGCAATATGTTTATGGTAGGCGTGGCCGCCACCTGCCCACATGCTTAGTACAAAGACACATCAGGCGGAGCGGTTGATTTTACATTATTATATATACTTTTTTTTTTACACTACACTAAAGATAATTTTTTTTTTTATATATATATATACCATACTATATACATACATATATTTGTTGAATATTTGTTAATATTATTTAACAATTAAATGCTTAGCTGCTATTATTTAATGTACGTAATAACTATACTTAAACTATACGCCCACACATACGTATAGATACACATATATATATATATATACATATATTATTAACGATTTGTAATAAAAGCCGAAAGCAAACAGACAAAAAGAATCAACAAAAAAAAAAAAAAAAAAAAAAAAACAATTCTTTGATAAGCTGTGAACATATTTAGCGGCTTGCGTCAGCTACAAAAGAGCGCAATCATTAGACACAGCCTGACAAGCCCAAAAAAAATTGTCACATTCTTTAATTTAGCCAGAAATTGCGAACAACTGCCAATGTTTTTATCTCTTTTATCCGGGCACATTAATTTATAACGTTCGATAGGCAATCGATTGCGTTCAATTGCCGCCTCTCATCGCGAGTTTGACGAAACTTTCGATTTCGCATCGATTTGCGTGCAGTGCCAAAAGCTAACAGCGTACGTGCAGGCAAAAGATTGCTGCGTACATTGCATACTTTTAGGATTTGCGCATTTAACGGAAAATTTTGGCGAAACCTCTTACATGGCGTGACGTCACGTGTTTGATCATTGTGCATTTACCGTATGACGTATACGCATGTATGTCAGTTTTTATTTTGTTGTTAATTTAAAAAATATCGCACAACGATTATCTTAAATTGTTTACTACTTTGTTAAATTACGTATGTATATTATAAATCTATACACATATGACAGCTAGCTGTAAATCAATATCAAAAAGTATTAAATACATAACCAATAAATTATTGTGTGTGTGTGACGTCATGCGCACTCCAGCGCACTAGCGTAATCTGTAGAGTGTGCGCAGCGCAGTCAGCAAAAGTAACGGAACCAGAAACAACTGCAAAATCCGTGAGGACTCTGCGAACGCCAAAGAACACTTAAGATAGAGCGAGACGCCATGCTTCGTTCGTGTATTTATCTGATTTCACGTGTCTGCCTTTAATTTGTCGGAGCATGCGTTTATTCAATGGGCGCGAACGAGATGGCAGCTTGAGCTTGACAAATTGCCCAAAAGCCACCAGTGTTGCCAGCTATTTGAGTAAGCATCGCAGAGAGTTGCCCACTTGGCGAGTCCTTTGCCAACACTGGGGACGCCAACAAATCGTTTTGAAATTCATGTCAACAAAGTTGGCCGTGATTTTTGTAGCTGTGTGACTTGCAATCTGGCATTGAAACGTGAAGGAGCATTCGAGCAGACCTAAACTAACAGAAATAAACTCACCGCACTATTGAAAGCCAGACGAAGAAAAGCCCCAAGACCAATTCGAAATCATATTTCAAGTGATATTCAGCGCAAGTCCGCGGCGTATGAGTGCAGTTCTTTGGAGTTCCAAGTTGACCTTAAATCAAAAGAAACCGAAAAGCAAAATGTCAGACCGTCCCTCGCGCGCAGAGGTCTTGAAGCTGAGCCTGGGTAAGCTGTACCACACTCCAAAAACCCTCTATAGATTCTAGTACCGCCCCTAACCCAACGCCACAGACGAGTACATTCATCTCTATGTGCACGCCGATCACAAGAACAAGATCTACGGCAGACGGGGCCCCTATCCAAGTCAGGCCCAACAGCGGCGTCGCTACGAGCACTCCCACTACTTTGCGCCCGCCTATCAGCGCCAGCAGCAACAGCAGCAACAGCAGCAGCAGCAGCAACAGCAGCAGCGGTTGCAGCAGCAGCGCGAGGAGCAGCTGCGTGCACAGCAGCAGGAACGCCTGAAGCTGCAGCGGGAGCAGCAACTGCGCTTGCAGCAGCAGCGGGAACAGCTGAACGCGGCGGAGCAGCTGCAGGGACAGCAGCAGCAGCGCATGAACGAGACGCTGGAGACGCTGTGCATCAGCCAGGACTGCATCAGCCAGCTGCGCCAGGAGCAGCAGCGTCTGCAGCAGCAGAGCCTCGAGGAGATGCGCCTGCTGCAGCAGCGACTGCGCCAGCAGCGGCAGCAGGGCGTCGAGGAGATGCGTCTGCTGCAGCAGCGGCATCGCCAGCAGCGCATGGCCCTCCAGCAGCGCATCGATGACGAGGAGCGCACCGATCGCCAGCGTCGCCTCGACCAGCATCATATCCTACAATTGCGCACCCTGCAGCAGCATCGGCGCGAGCAGAAACAGCTGCAAACCCAGCAACAGCAGCAGCGCCTCCAGCAGCTGCTCCACAAGCAGGAGCAGCGCCGCCAGGCCATGGGCGTTAGCAACTACAAAATGCTGTTGAAGCTGGCATCGGATATGTCCACAGCGGCCACTCGAGCGCAGCCCAAGGAGGACGCCAAACCCGCCCAGGGCCTGCTGATGCCGCCACGTTTTGTGGTCTCCGAGCTGCCCAGCTGGTATATACCGCCCAAGCTGGAGTACGCCGCCAGCGTGCAGGTCAAGAAGGAGGAGCCGACAAGCGACAAGAAGATGCGCTTGTCCTCCGTCCAGGAATCCGTCAATCTCAGCAGCGATCTGCTCCTGGACAGAGCCGGAGTCGGAGTCGGCGTCAGCATCAAGAAGAAGGTCAAGTTCGATCTGAAGGAGGAGTACGTGACCAACGGCATCTCAACCGAGGAGGTAATTGCCGAGATCGAGGATCAGATGAAGGAGGAAATCGAAATGGAGGACGACATCAACAGCGACATGCTCTATATACCCACCAACTTTTCGCTAAGCGAATGAATTGAATTGAATACCCTGCACACCAGATGCCAAAAGCGAATCCGAGGAGAGCTTGATGAACGAATAATTTGATGCACTAGGCAAACAAAAGGCGCACAAGAAAAGCCGAATAACGTGATACACTGCAGAAAAAAGGAAATATACTACAAAAAATGTAAACACGCGAAATAACGAATATATAAATACACTACAAATACCATGCGAATACAAAATGCGACGATGTGAACAGAACGAATTTTTAATGCACTAAACTCAAGCAAAAAAAAAAAAAAGAGAGCAATTGTGAATATAACGAATATCTTAATACACTGCAAAAAAGCGAATATTTGAAGTATGCGAATATTTAAATACACTACCCACAAGGGAAGAGAGGAGAGAATACGTGAATATGTTAATACACTGCACAAAAGAAAAATAACGTGTGAATAATACGACTATTTTAATACACTACACAAAAGCGAAGAAAGGGAAGAATATGTAAATATTTTAATACGTAACCAAAAAAAATACACATTTTAACGAATATTTTAATACACTACACACAAGCAAACCCTAAAAGGAAGAAACATGTGATAAAACGCGACTATTTTGATACACTACAAAGACGAGTATATGCAAAATGCGAATATTTAAATACACTACTCAAAAAATGAATTGGAAAAAAAAACCAAATATTTTAATACACTAAAAAAAAAATGGTATAAAAAACCACAATTAAAATAAAATAAAAACAAGAAATGCAATTATGGCACAATATAAACCCAATATCTGCTTGCTTGTGGCATGCAACATCGCGTTGCACAACAGCCCGGACAACAACCGGTGGACATAGACATGGCAACCGGGACCAACTGGCAAATCTCGTTCCAGCCTTCCAGCCAATCGAACTGGCCTCAATTGACCGACTCGACGCAACGCTGCCTTTGCCAGAGCTCAGCTCAGCCACAATTGGTCAAAATTAAGACTCGAATACAATTTATAATGATTATGTGATACGAATTATACAAATAATATTGATGGCTTTTTTTTGTTGTGATACCAAGCAATATTTATAACTAACATTTACAATTAAACGATGATTTTTTTCTTTTTAAGAAAAACGGAAATCAAAAGTCTGGCAACTCCTTGATATATGCAGAGTTTCCAATTGGAAATTGGATAATATCAGCTTTACTGGATGCAGACATAGAATAATTCAAATATTAAATAAAATAGAGTTTTTCCTTTGTTTTGTTTAGGAATAAAACTTAAGAACAATAGTTTTAGTCGATCAAAGCCTAAAAGTCTGGCAACTCCTTTATATATAAAGAGCTTCCAATTGGAAATTGGCTAACATGAAAAGCAACATTGAGAATAATTTAAATTTATATTAAAATAACTTTATTCTTGGTTATAAGATCGGACTCTAAGCTCCGAAGTTAAGCAAGCGCGCATATTCCATGCATGGAGAAGAAGCAGCACAGCGCAATCGCAGCCTCTTTGTTGACTTGTATCATAATTGTCTTATGATGATATCAATAGTCATCTGTTATTATTTTTATTGTGATTTTGAATCTTGTTGCTTTTATTATTGCAATTACATTTACATTTTTACAGCTGTCAGCAAGTTTTATTGCTGAAATTAAGTTTTGACTCAGTCTGTTTGCCGCACTAAAACTTTAATGAACCTCTACTCGGACTGTCTGTCCGTCAGTCTGTCTCTCTGTCCGTCTCTCTCTCCGTCTGTCTCCTAGTTTATGTCTTAATGAGGTGTTACCTTTCACCCGTGAGTGCAATGCGCCTCCTCCAAGCCGCTGTCGAAGCTAACCAACTGCAAATTTATAGTTCACAGCTGAATGTGCCCACACACACACACACACACACATACACTCGTTCAGTTCAGGTTAAAGCAAATCATAAAAAACGTTGAAAAGCAAATAAAAAAGAAAAAAAGAAAACGTTGCGCAGACGCATTGGCTCAGTCAATTTTTGTAGCTCGCCGCGCGCAGACCAGGTCCGAACGCAGCTCCGTCCAAGAGGCCAGATTTCGCCCGTTCCGGATTTCGTTTTCAACCGAATTACGCTTTTGCTTTCGTTTCGCAAGCGGCATTTCGCAAGCGTCTCTTCTTCTTGATCATGTTAAAGCTGAACTCTTTGCTGGCACTGCTGCTGCTGCCGCTGCTGCAGCTGACGCTGGCCACGCCCATAGCGCCCACCACGCTAGATGGCGCCACACCCATCGATGCACAGGTCTCCGCAGCGGATTTCGGTGCACTGGACGCCTTTGCCGAAGATGCCGAGGCCGAGAGCTCAGCGACGGCAGCCAGCGAGGCGGGCTTTAAGGTGCGCAACACGCGAGTACAGTGAACACAAGCTAACAGATATATACCCCAACGTTTCGTTATCAAACAGATCGCGCTGCTGCCCATGCCGGCCAAGACGGCGGAGTCTGTGAATCTGGAGCACGAGGCGCTGCCCTCCAAGGTGCTCACCGCCTACGACAAGACGCACCAGAAGCTGGCGGACATAACGCACGTGAGTGCCTGATCACTGATCACTGATCACTGAAGACTCTAAACACTGATCACACTTATGACTGGTCGTTGATCACTGATCACTGTTCTCTTGCAGCCTGTGCCCATCTTGGACGGCATCAGCGAGCACGAGAAATATGGCAACAATGGCGACAAGTTCGACGGCATCTCGCGCTCAATTGTCAACGGTTACGAGGCCTTTTCCAATCTCCTCAACAGCTTCATACAGGTGAGTCTATCTACCTCCCCGCCCCTGTGAGCTGTTTACGCTTGCGCTGCTTGTTCACACGTTGCATTGCACAAGCAAAGCTCCCCTCGCGGCGCGCCCGCCACGCCGTGGCCACAATTAAAGCGCCTTATGTAATTTCCGCCCGAAGGTCGAACCTTAAGCAAATAGTTTGATTACTTTTTCAAATACGCATTTGGTTGCACATAATTAAACGACATTTGTTGCTGGGCTAAATAAATATTATTTCGCCTATTTTGAATACTTTTTACATTTAAAACGTTTTATGGGATATGCAAGAGTTTAACATGGGCAAATATATAAATATATATTCTTGATACGCAAGACGAGCTGAGTCGAAAGGAGCAAAAGCTTATTTGTATTTTTCCCTATATTCAACCATTTTCAAATGATCGATAAATATCGAAAAGTTTAAATTGACTTATTTATTTGATTGATTACCTTAACATAAAAGATACTCGATCTGTATATGATAATCTAGAAGCTAGCTCTACAAACCTTAGATATTTTACCAACAAAACAGGTTTTCCATATCGATTTTTATCGATTGCTCGGCAAGTTATCGACTATCGGAAACAAGAAAAGAGCACTAGAAGAACCTACGTTCAAAAAGGGGTTAGAGCCTGGCGCTTTGGTATGCACACACGCAAGATCGGACTATAAGGACCGAAGTTATTCAAAGGCTGGCTTGGTAAAACCGATGCGCATAGTTCCCGATAGATCTCAGTCTAAGCTGGGAAACACCAGTTTTGCTGATCTAGCTGCCCTTGTTACTATGGACAAGATTAGTTTGTGCTTGATTTGGGTTTGGGGTGTTATTCATATTTTTCTTCATAGTCGAACACAACAAACAAATTCTTTCAAAAATAGAGAAACCTTATTAGAATTTATTCCATGGTATATCCAGACGAATAAGACATAGCGCGTTAGAATGTATTCGTATGGTGTGACAAGTCGGAAAGATATCATTAGACTGGGCTGGAGGAACTCGACCTTTATGGGGCCGCGTAACTGTGAGATTGTTGTGCCGCCAATAGACATGTCCTATGTAGACGAGACGGACCAGAAAACCAATCATCTGACCCTGGACAAAATCAAAAGCCCCAAGATAGTGAGCAAAGCAAAAAAGTCGCACAAGCTAGAGGTCAATGAGAAGGTTGTGAAGAAAGCCAAAAAGAAGGTAAAGTCTGTTCCACTTTGTATCCTGTCTGCCCTAACAGCCTTGAACATCCACAGTCCAGGAAACTGACCACTGAACTACCGCAGGTTGGTCTGGTCAAGGTTCCGCCCAGGGTATTGGCCACACAGTCCGCCGAACTTGATCTAAATGGGCCGGCTAACACTCGACAAATTGCGGATTATCTATTAGAGAATCGACTAACTGTGAACAATGGTAGCCTGCAGCTGGCGGCACCCAAGGAGAAACCGAACGGCGAGTGCCATTGCGCCGATAGACTCGGGCTCTTGGCTAGACTGATCACATCGCGACACGATCCGATATATACTGCTAGAATATCGCCCTCTCTGAAGCATCTGAGCGATATTATGCAGGAGCTGTTGTCCATTCTGAGTCTATTTTTTGTGGTTGGGCTGCTATTGGCCTGTTATCTATGCTCCAAGCCAAGGGAACTCTCGTTCCTGCAGCAGCTGCTACGAAAACTATACAGATTGTTTGCAACCGATTCCTGTTACGATTGTGGTTTATGTTAGGAATTCCTTATCTTTGATGAACCAATTAAAATTCTATTACAAGATAATACTTCCATATACTTCCAGTATTCAAGCATTTAAGATCACGATTTGTTTTATTATTTTAGAGGACAAATATCTTTGGTCCCACGGTGTTTCCCGGCTTCTCGTTTCTCCACCCACTCCACCAGATCATTATGCTCCTAATCTGACTCCAGCGACGATTCCTCGCTCAACTCGAGCTCGCTTCCACCTGCAGGCCCTATCATCCACTTGTTTTGGTTTTGAACCTGAAGAATCTCCTCTTCCGACTCCCGCGACGAGCCCTCACTCAGCGCAAGCTTCCGCCCGAGCTGCTCTTCCTCCGAGGAGTCCTCGCTCAGCGCAAGCTCTTCTACCTGTTTGAGGACCTGCCGCTTCAGTTTTGGCCCAATCTGTTCCTCTACCGACGAGTCCTCGCTCCGCGCAAGCTCCTTTATTGTTCGATTCTTCACTAGCTTTTGAGGCTCGATATTTCTTGAATCTCGACACGATGCGAGCTTTCCCATCTGTCGAGAATCTCCAACCTCCTGTCTATTCTCCACTAGCCTTTGTGCCTCGTTCTGCTCATCCTCCGAGTGCTGTCTCCACGCGAGCTCTTTATCTCGGGGCACTCTTCCAACCTCGCGGTTGAATGGCTTTTGCTGCACGACTTGTTGCTCCTCTTCTGACGAGTCTTCACTCAACACGAGATCCTTTCCGTTTTTCAGCTCTAGATAGTTTATGTCCGGCATTTGCTTCACTAGATTTTGCTGCTCTTCCTCTGACGACTCTTCACTAAGCACAAGCTCCTTTTCCTGCCTTAGAGCCGCATAATTCATCTCCTGCCCCTTTACTAGATTTTGTACCTCTAGATGCTCCTCCTCCGACGAGATTTCACTTAGCGCGAGCTCATTTGTCCTTGACAATATCGCTGCCTGGCCTGCCAGCTTATGCTTCTTCGAAGATTCCTTACCTAACGCCAGCTCTTTTGTCCTTGCCACTCTCTTGACTTTCCGTTTCGCCAGCTTTGGCTGCTTTAGCCGCTTTTTTGACAAGTCTTCACTTAACGCGAGCTTATTTATCTGTCCAGGATCTATTATCTCCGAGGAGTTCTCCCTCAATGCGGGCGCCTTAACTTTTTGCTTCTTACGTTTTGTGTGAACTTCCGAAGGACCTTTACTCACGGTGGGCTGCCTTACTTGTTTTAGATCTGGCTCGAGCTGCTGCTCCTCCTCTGATGAGTCCTCGCTCAGCGCAATCTCTTTTACCCGATTCAGACCCAGGAAATTGATTACCCGATTTTCCTGCGCGATGTGCAACTCCTCCGACGAGTCCTCACTCAGCGCTAGTCTGCTTGTCTCTTCCAAATCTGGATAATGCTTCTCCGACGAATTGCTCACTCCTGGAACATTCTCAAGCTTTCGTTTCACCTTCTTTTGCTTCTTGGTCCGCTCTTTTGATGAGTCCTTACCCATCGCGAGCGCTTTTACTGCTGGCACCTGGTCAACCTTTTTGTTCTTTCGCTTTTGCTGCTTCTCCAAATTACTAGAGGGTTTTGTCCTTGGTACTTTCTCAACCTTGCCGAATGCGAGCTCTTTCGGTAGTTCCTCAACCATTTGCGTTAGTTTTTGCTGCTGAAGCTGTTCCTCCGATGAGCCTGTACTTAAACCGAGCTCCTCTATTGTCTCCTGCCTCTTCACTGGATGCTGCTGCTTAAACTGTTCCTCCGGATAATTAATCTCCTGCCTCTTCTCCGAATAGTCTTCATTCGACCCATACTCTTTTACTACTGTAACTTTGTCAACCTTCCTGTTAACCAGCGTTTGCTGCTCGAGCTGCTCCTCGTCCGAGGAAACGTCACTCAATGCGAGCTCCTGTATCCGTGGCTCTTCAACCTTACGCTTCTTCAGCAGCTTTTGTTGCTCCCCTAGCACGGGCTGATCGAGCTTCAGTTCCTCCGGCTCCAGCGACGGGTCCTTCATTGATGGCTCCTTCATCTTCCGCTGCCCCTGAACGAGCTGCTGGTGGGGCTGTAGCCGCTCCTGCCCCTGTTGCATTCGCAGCCGCTTCCTGGCCTGGATGTCAGCCAAGGTCTGCTCAATGGAACGGTTGTCCCTCTTGAACCGGCTGGGCACAAAACCATAGCTATGGTTGGTGGACGTCTCGCGTACCGATTGCAGGGTGGCTGGCTCAGCAATGAGATGGGCATACTTGGCCCGATAGCTGACAACTGGTTTGCTTACGAGATTTGAGTTTGCGATGTGATCCCTGGTGCTGGGCGTGTGTCCAAAGAATTTGGATGGTTCAGCTGGGGCAGCCATTGCTGGAGCTAAAGCTGAAGCTGGAGCAGTTGCAGCTGCTGCAGCAGTTGCTGGGGGAAGTGCATCGGCTGCAATGGCAGATGGTGCAGCAGCTGGGACTTGCTGCTCGCACTTGTCCTGCTCCTGCTTGGATCGATCCTTGCGTCGCTCCGCATACTGCCTGGCTATCTCCTTGTTCCAGCCTTCACCTTTGCGACGGGCGTACAGCTCGTCAGCGTCAGGCGGATGCTCCTTCTTGTAGACAACAGACTGTCGTATATCCTCGCCCCGACCAAAGCTCATCGCCATAAAACCACCATATTCAGCCGCTTCCTGTATGATGGTTCGATGAATTCGGTCAAAGGGCTGGAACTCCATGCTGGTCCTTCCGTCCTTGGCAAAGCGTCCCATGCGCTCCTGCACATAGCTGCGGAAACGTGCCAGCTCCTCGCGCTGTTTGTTCTTCATGCGCTCCATGTACTCGCGCTGCTTTTGCTGCTCACCTGCGATTCATTGGTTAGAAGCTGAGAATTGAATCGCGCAACTCATTTGCCGCTCACCTGTGTTGGGAGGCGCATCCATTGCGTTAAGAATTGAATCGAGAAAATCCATATTTAGTACGAAAAAATCTCCTTGTCTTCAACCCTTATTAACTTTTCAACTTTTTATTTACTCTACGAACGATTCCCTTCTTCCAACTATTATTCAATTTTTTTTTGCAAATAATCAAAATTGTTCGACTTTACTTAATGTGACGCTCAGTTGTTGAGACTCGAAACACAAGTGAATCAAATTGTTTGTGTAGAGCTACGAGCTCCAGAATTTCAACAATTTTCAAGGCTGTTGCGATCCCAAGAACTGAGTGTTGAGTTTTCTGTGAGCAAAGCCGTTGAGAGATAGAGAAAGAGAGAGAGGGAGAGAGAGAGAGAGAGAGAGAGAGAGATTGAGAGATTGAGAGAGTAAGACGGAGGCTACACACAAGTGCAGCTGCAAAAACACAAATAAAATTTATCGATAACAAAAAATCGTTGAGCAAAGCACTGAGACCTCAAAAAAGCAAATGTTAGAGAGAGATCGAGAGAGAGAGAATGAGAAAGTGAGATGCAGAAAGAGGAGCAGCTGCAAAAATTCAAATACAATTTATCGATAACAATAATCATTAGAGTAAAGAGAAGACTGTAAACGTCAGAAAGAGAGAGAAAGAGAAAGGCAGACAAAAGCTGCCAGCTTGCTGCTGCCTTCTTCCAGTGTTGGTTAACGTAAACTCGATTGTTCGCTTGCTTAACGGTTTTTTTTTCTTATCGACTTTCGATCGGACAAATCTGGCGAAATTGGCTTTATAAAACGACAACTCTTCCCCGCGCTAAAATCTGGCGAAATTAGATATGTCGTTTTGAAACGTCATATCTTCCCCGCGATAAAATCTAGCGCGGCGGAGATATGTCGTTTTGAAACGACATAATTTCGCCAGATTTTAGCGGGGGGGAGATATGTCGTTTTGAAACGACATAATTTCGCCAGATTTTAGCGGGGGGGAGATATGTCGTTTTGAAACGACATAATTTCGCCAGATTTTAGCGGGGGGGAGATATGTCGTTGTGAAACGACATAATTTCGCCAGATTTTAGCGGGGGGGGGGAGATATGTCGTTTTGAAACGACATATCTCCGCCGCTCGGGGAAGATATGTCGTTTTGAAACGACATAATTTCGCCAGATTTTAGCGGCGGGGGGAGATATGTCGTTTTGAAACGACATAATTTCGCCAGATTTTAGCGGGGGGGAGATATGTCGTTTTGAAACGACATAATTTCGCCAGATTTTAGCGGGGGGGAGATATGTCGTTGTGAAACGACATAATTTCGCCAGATTTTAGCGGGGGGGGGAGATATGTCGTTTTGAAACGACATATCTCCGACGCTCGGGGAAGATATGTCGTTTTGAAACGACATAATTCCGCCAGATTTTAGCGGGGGGGGGATTTGTCGTTGTGAAACGACATAATTTCTCCGCGATCATAGCGCGCCGGAGATATGTCGTTTTGAAACGACATAATTTCGCCAGATTTTAGCGGGGGGGGAGATATGTCGTTTTGAAACGTCATATCTTCCCCGCGATAAAATCTGGCGCGGCGGAGATATGTCGTTTTGAAGCGACATAATTCCGCCAGATTTTAGCGGGGGGGAGATATGTCGTTTTGAAACGACATATCTCCGCCGCTCGGGGAAGATATGTCGTTTTGAAACGACATAATTCCGCCAGATTTTAGCGGGGGGGAGATATGTCGTTTTGAAACGACATATCTCCGCCGCTCGGGGAAGATATGTCGTTTTGAAACGACATAATTCCGCCAGATTTTAGCGGGGGGGAGATATGTCGTTTTGAAACGACATATCTCCGCCGCTCGGGGAAGATATGTCGTTTTGAAACGACATAATTCCGCCAGATTTTAGCGGGGGGGAGATATGTCGTTGTGAAACGACATAATTTCGCCAGATTTTAGCGGACGGGAGATATGTCGTTTTGAAACGACATATCTCCGCCGCTCGGGGAAGATATGTCGTTTTGAAACGACATAATTTCGCCAGATTTTAGCGGGGGGGAGATATGTCGTTGTGAAACGACATAATTTCGCCAGATTTTAGCGGGCGGGAGATATGTCGTTTTGAAACGTTATATCTTCCCCGCGATAAAATATGTCGCGGCGGAGATATGTCGTTTTGAAGCGACATAATTCCGCCAGATTTTAGCGGGGGGGAGATATGTCGTTTTGAAACGACATAATTTCGCCAGATTTTAGCGGGGGGGAGATATGTCGTTTTGAAACGACATAACTCCGCCAGATTTTAGCGGGGGGGAGATATGTCGTTGTGAAACGACATATCTCCGCCGCTCGGGGAAGATATGTCGTTTTGAAACGACATAATTTCTCCGCGATCATAGCGCGGCGGAGATATGTCGTTTTGAAACGACATAACTCCGCCAGATTTTAGCGGGGGGGAGATATGTCGTTGTGAAACGACATATCTCCGCCGCTCGGGGAAGATATGTCGTTTTGAAACGACATAATTTCTCCGCGATCATAGCGGGGGGGAGATATGTCGTTTTGAAACGACATAATTTCGCCAGATTTTAGCGGGGGGGAGATATGTCGTTGTGAAACGACATAATTTCGCCAGATTTTAGCGGGCGGGAGATATGTCGTTTTGAAACGTCATATCTTCCCCGCGATAAAATATGTCGCGGCGGAGATATGTCGTTTTGAAGCGACATAATTCCGCCAGATTTTAGCGGGGGGAGATATGTCGTTTTGAAACGACATAATTTCGCCAGATTTTAGCGGGCGGGAGATATGTCGTTTTGAAACGTCATATCTTCCCCGCGATAAAATCTGGCGCGGCGGAGATATGTCGTTTTGAAGCGACATAATTCCGCCAGATTTTAGCGGGGGGGAGATATGTCGTTGTGAAACGACATAATTTCTCCGCGATCATAGCGCGGCGGAGATATGTCGTTTTGAAACGACATAACTCCGCCAGATTTTAGCGGGGGGGAGATATGTCGTTGTGAAACGACATATCTCCGCCGCTCGGGGAAGATATGTCGTTTTGAAACGACATAATTTCGCCAGATTTTAGCGGGGGGGAGATATGTCGTTGTGAAACGACATAATTTCTCCGCGATCATAGCGCGGCGGAGATATGTCGTTTTGAAACGACATAATTTCGCCAGATTTTAGCGGGGGGGAGATATGTCGTTTTGAAACGTCATATCTTCCCCGCGATAAAATATGTCGCGGCGGAGATATGTCGTTTTGAAGCGACATAATTCCGCCAGATTTTAGCGGGGGGGAGATATGTCGTTTTGAAACGACATATCTCCGCCGCTCGGGGAAGATATGTCGTTTTGAAACGACATAATTCCGCCAGATTTTAGCGGGGGGGAGATATGTCGTTGTGAAACGACATAATTTCGCCAGATTTTAGCGGACGGGAGATATGTCGTTTTGAAACGACATATCTCCGCCGCTCGGGGAAGATATGTCGTTTTGAAACGACATAATTTCTCCGCGATCATAGCGCGGCGGAGATATGTCGTTTTGAAACGACATAACTCCGCCAGATTTTAGCGGGGGGGAGATATGTCGTTTTGAAACGACATAATTTCGCCAGATTTTAGCGGGGGGGAGATATGTCGTTTTGAAACGTCATATCTCCGCCGCTCGGGGAAGATATGTCGTTTTGAAACGACATAATTTCTCCGCGATCATAGCGCGGCGGAGATATGTCGTTTTGAAACGACATAACTCCGCCAGATTTTAGCGGGGGGGAGATATGTCGTTTTGAAACGACATATCTCCGCCGCTCGGGGAAGATATGTCGTTTTGAAACGACATAATTTCTCCGCGATCATAGCGGGGGGGAGATATGTCGTTTTGAAACGTCATATCTCCGCCGCTCGGGGAAGATATGTCGTTTTGAAACGACATAATTCCGCCAGATTTTAGCGGGGGGGAGATATGTCGTTTTGAAGCGACATAATTTCGCCAGATTTTAGCGCGGCGGAGATATGTCGTTTTGAAACGACATAATTTCGCCAGATTTTAGCGGGGGGGAGATATGTCGTTTTGAAACGTCATAATTTCGCCGGATCATAGCGCGGTGGAGATATGTCGTTTTGAAACGACATATCTCCGCCGCTCGGGGAAGATATGTCGTTTTGAAACGACATAATTTCGCCAGATTTTAGCGGGGGGGGAGATATGTCGTTTTGAAACGACATAATTTCGCCAGATTTTAGCGGGGGGGAGATATGTCGTTTTGAAACGACATAATTTCTCCGCGATCATAGCGCGGCGGAGATATGTCGTTTTGAAACGACATATCTCCGCCGCTCGGGGAAGATATGTCGTTTTGAAACGACATAAGACCAGCCATACATACCATATATATAAACTATCCAAATTTGATCTTGTATTTACCCTTGTCCCACCCACAGAAACCCAAGGAGCTGGCGCGCAGCGTCTCAAAGGGCATCACGGCACAGTTGGACATTATTGGAGGCAAGCTCGTGGGACTCTAAAGATGAAGACGGGGAACATAAGTAAAACCATTTTTTTTTATTTGATTGTATAACTTTTATTTAAATAAATAGTTTAATTTATTTTGTAACCTATGCACAATTTTGTAATTGTTATTTTGTTTTTGTTTAGGAATGTGCTTGTTAAACTTTATGTATAAATATATATATATATATATATATGCTATATAAATGGTGTTTTTATTTACTTTTCTCTTTAGCTAATTTCATTTGTTGATTGCATTGCGGGCAGTTGTTGTTGTCGTTTGTCTTCTTCCAATACTCAATTGCCGTACAATAACATGCAGATTGGATATGGTACATGTATATAGCTTTCGATGTCTATCTAGAGGCGCGCTCTTCGCACTCGATTGCGCATAAAATACCAAACTCTTGGTATTTTTTTTGATATTCATCATATATATATATATATATATATATATATATATATGGATAGATCTATGTATAAACTAGATGAGCACATCACAATATGGATATACCGCTAACTAATAGATTAGAGGCTCGCAAAGCTGACTTCACAAAAAAAATACCACTAAATACTGCTGGAAAAGAGACAAGCAACAGAAAAAATACTAAACTTGTGTGAACTCAGCTTTGGGCTCAGCTTGCTTTTTCGCCTCGCTTCAGATATTTTTTCGCCTTAGCATTTTTCTAATAATACAAAGTTCAGAAAAAAAATGAAGATATTTAAATTAATTTTTGGCACATTTCGCAGAAGAAAAAAAAAATATAATAATACTAAAAAAATGGGGGTACAGGGTGATGGTGGTGTGGGGGGGGGGAATAATATATGCAATAGCCTGTGTCCCGGCGCCTTGCTTTAGAAATTCTCCATGTCGCGGAGGATCGGATCTAGCTAGAGACGAGTTCAATCCTCCCAGCTGCTGGTGCGCGTCTGCGGATCAATTGAGGGCGAGTACGACTTGTACGTGTCGGAGACCTTCTTGTGCTTCACCGTGCAGAACAACAGCATCGAGGTGATCAGCCCGAAGAGCTGGACAAACGCAATGCCCAGTCCGATGGCTCCGACCACATTTAGCTGGCCATTGAACCAGCCCTGCAGCGAATGGGCGCAGCCCTTGTCCCACCACAAGGTGGGATTCTCGGATCTGCCGCAATCCACGCGCATCACCCCATCCCCGGAGCCCTCGGTGATCAGCTGTCTTTGATCGTACAGCTGGCGGCAGCAGGAGTCCGGCACCCAACGCTTGCCGCTCCACGACTGTATGTCATACCAATCCTCGTACGACGACACGCCGCAGCATTCAAACTGTTCCAAAAAAAAAATAAAATAAAAGAAGAAAGTTTAGAATTAAGTCAAGCAAGAACATTGCAGTCGGCAGTCACCGACTGCGCCATACTCTGTACACAGTGTGAAAACGGTTAATTTGTGGCATATTCCACCTCAGGTTACTTCCAAAAAGGTGCCTGAAATACATGTTATGCTGTCTTATCTATCGCTGAATTGAATATGCCCGTTTTTCACATTGTGAACAGTGTATAAATGGAGAGCTTACCGACTGCTGCACACTGTCCCAAATGGCAGCCACAGATGGCGCCACCAGCGAGCCCCGATCGCTGGCATTGTAATGGCGCTCGATGCCGAAGCGCAGCTCGTTGGCCAGCGTGCGTCCGAGTCCGCCGCGGAAGAGGAACGCAATGGAGCCGACCAGGAACTCGCTCATGAACAGCATCACGATCAGCATAAAGTACTGGGCAGGACGAAAAGTTGAGATTATAAAGCTAACGCAAATTAATTCATGTGTATAAATGCACTTACCAACACTAGCAGACAGCGAGACTGTACCCAAGCGCCGCAGCAGCCAAAGAAACTGACCACAAATCCGATGCCGCCAATGCACATGAAGATCGTGTCCGCGCTCAGACCCGCGTGCTGTGGCAGCAGCGTTGCGTAGCCTTCATAGCTGAGGCGCAGCCACAGGCCGGCTCCAAGGAAGGCGCAGCTGCACAGCTGCAAAAAGTCAAATACAATTTATCGATAACAAAAGATCGTAAGAGTTGAACGAAGCACAGAGAGTCCAAGAGAGCAAGTCTTGGAGAGAAAGGAAATGAGAGATAGATAGAGAAAGAGAGCTGCAAAAACACAAATACAATTTATCGATAATAATAATCGTTAGAGTTTAGCGAAGACTGAGACATCCAGAAAGCAAATGTTAGAGAAAGAAATAGAGAGAGAGAGAAACACAATTTATCGATAACAATAATCATTAGAGTTAAGAGAAGTCCTGACTGCAAACGTCAGAAAGAGAAAGAAAGAGAGAGGCGGACAAAAGCTGCCTGCTTGCTGCTGCCTTCTGCCAGTGTTGGTTAACGTAAACTCGATTGTTCGCTCGCCTAACTTTTAACGGTAATTTTTTTTATCGACTTTCGATCAGACAAATCGTTTGGCTTCGGATTTAATCATTGATAATTATTATTACTCGAATTTACCCAAGAGCAATTTTTGAGCATTTAACTCTAATATTATTTAATCCAGCAAGCGAGGTAAGCTTACAACAAATTTAATTATTATTGCTGCAAATTGTAGTTATTTGTTGGAATTGCTGCTTTTGGCCAATTATCTGGCTGGCAAACGCGTTGCATTAGCTATAGCCAAATATTTGACTCTTTAGCCAAAGAGAGAGTACAATAAGAGAGAGCTTTAATGATTGGAGGGCAATTATGATAAGGTAGAGAATATGTGTTGAGGAGCTGAAGGCCTGGACGCTAGCGTTATTTTGTTGTAATTAATTATAGTCTTATTTCTAATATAATATGAATGCATTAATTTTAATAGTATTAAAAATCGAATGAGTGTTGTAAATTACTTTCTTACTTTCTTGTTTTAAATGATTAAAAGAGAATATTTTCAAAATAATAAAAATATGTTTTTCTCTGGGCTCCTAATGGTAAAGACTCTGAGTTCAATATCTAGCGGGTTAGATATTCTACTCGTTATACTTAAACTTTTAAGTGCATATTCAAGCAGATTTGAATATGTTCTGCTCCTTATACTATCCGCCTCCAAGAGCTGGCGGGTTATATATTCTTCTAACTTTTAGACAAAAGTCTCAAAGGCGAATTCTAGCAGGTCTAGTCTCGCCTCTTAATACTCAAAATCCAATATCCAGCAAGATATATACCATTCTATTTGGACTTAAAAAGTAGTCGAAGTTTATTGCTGCCAGGTGATATATATATATATATATATATATATATATATATATATATATAGCTTGAGGCTGGGAAGTCTGAGCTCAGCTAGGCGATTAAGTTGCTTCGGCGACAAAGAGTTAAACGCACTGCGATTAGCCGCAATCGACTGCTATCGAAAACTGCTGGCAATTATCGATAAGCGATTGCAAATGAATGCGCCTGTCGTTGCCACGTTGCGCAACAAAAGCCTGAGACAGACGCACAGCTAGACAATGCGGCAACTTTGCCGTTTCCGCTGCAGACGAGGCTGAGAACTTTGTTGCCGGCGTCCATTGTTGTTGTTGTAGCTGCTGCTGCTGACAGCAGCAGCATATCCGCCCAGGGCCGAGCTCTCGATGCCAGCTGGAAAAACTCACCCACAAAATGATGTTGAGCCAGCAAAAGGTGCGGCGGATGCAAGAGTAGCCGGCGTTGCCCATCTTCTGGGAGCTGCTAGCTGCAAAGAGAGAAGCAGAGAAATACATACATAAATCACGGCCTAATGGGGATTTAGAATAAAGAGAGACGGATAGGAGGGGGGGGCGACAGGCAAGCGACGCGTTGCGCTGCATTCATTAGATACATTTGTATCTATTAGATGCGCGCTTTTTCGGAAATCACACACACACACACGCCAGGCGACCTCATAACGAGTGTGTGTTCTGTGTATAAATAAATTCAAATTCATAAATTTCAACAAATTATTTTTGTTTTTTTTTTTTTTTTGTTTCTATTGTATTTCCTTTGGCCCCATGTAACTGGATAAGTGTATCTGCCAGCGGGGCACATTCTATCTGCATTCATGTTAAGCAATTGGCCAGCCGCAAAAATAAAAAAAAAAACTGCAGCTCTTGCATATACATAACAGCAATACTTTTTTTTTTGTTTTTGTTTTTGCTGCTGTTTTTTTAGTTTAATAAATTTACGACTTGCGAATGGCAACAACAACAGCACACACACAATTATTATGAAATTCTCCAGCAGCTCAAATTACAATTACGACAAGCGTGCGCGGGGGAGCGGGAGAAGTAAGAGGGGGGTGGGGGGAGGGATGGGGTTAAGTGTGTATATCTGGAAAACCTATTTGCGTACTCGTTTTCACTGACCGGCGGCCTAGTTTACCCTTAAATGTGACGTAGGTCAGTCGAATCACAGTTGACCCCAAATACAATTGACTTGTTTAGCTTTCATTAGATTTACCGTGAGGCTAAGTTAAAGTCGCAAAATTCTAAGAAAAAACGTTAGGCACTAAATTGCCGCACTTTGGCACACCCTGCAGCTGGCATTGGATAAACGCGTAAAGCGCACATTTGCTCTATCAATATAAATTAATATTAATTTATTGCATTTACAGGAAATTCGTGAAATGTACCTGTCCCTGCTCGGGCGCCTGGCAAATCTCGCACATGCGATCTAATCTTTGTGGGAAACCAAAGCAAAGAGTTAAAGTGCAAGCAACTTAATTTAAAGATAACAAATTTAGTAATGCATATCTATAAGGCTACACATGTCTAATATGTCCTACTAGAAATATTCGCAATGTTCCTGCTAGGGCGCCTGGTAAACTTATATCCTAATGTTAAATTTGGACATTTTAAAGATATTTAACTATCTTTCTATCATCTAACTATCTATTTATCTGTCTATCTATCTATCCATCTATCTATCAATCTATCTACCTATCTATCTATCTAACTATCTATTTAGATTTATCTATCTATCTATCTATCTAACTATCTATTGATATAGCCACGTATATAATAGTTAGATAGATTAAGGTCTACACTGTCTAACTTTAAGCAAGCAAGTATTTAATTTAACTGAAAATAAAATAATTTCTTACTAAAATCGATGCGATTTCCTATTGGGTAAACAAACTTCCCAGCTCGAGTACAGGGGATTTTAATTTGATTTCCACGTCTGCCAAACTCGCATGCAACTCATGTATGCCGCGGCCGAGGCGGCTTTTGCATGTGAAAGACAAGCTGGTAATATGTAAATTGTGAATATGCTGTGAACACGACGGCGGCATTCAACAGGTTGTCGTTGTAATTTCATGTGCGATTTATGCGCATACACGAGAAAATATGTATTTTGGCATAAATACGAAATTCTATTGTCAAGTCTGATGTCTACGAATGTCTACGAAACGTTCACTTGAAGAACCTCTTGACATATTTACTAGCAACTATTTTGATGGATTGAAAGAATATTCAAAGTTTAACTAACTATAGAATAGCCAAGAAAGATATAGAGAGAGACGGCGGAAGTCAGACAAGGGTGTGGCGGGGGCAGGGTGGGCAAATAAGTGAGCACGCGCCAACAATTGCAGAGTGCAAGAAGTTGCAACAAGTGTTGGGCAAAAGTGTTGCATGCAACAAGAGCAACAGCAACAAGTGCAAGCTGCAATGATAAGCCTAACCCTGATGCTGATAATGATCATAATAATAATAATAATAATAATAATAATAATAATAATAATGATGATGATGATGTTGTTGTTGTTGCTGTTGTTGTTGCTGTTGTTGCTGCTGCTGTTGTTGTTGCTGTCGCAAGCGCAACTAAAATAATAATGAAATAGTTGCAAATAATGCGCGGCCCGCCCGGAGCCTAGAGCTGCTGTGGACAGAGCCCAAGTGCGAACAATTGTTGTCCGCAACAACAACAGCAGCAACAGCAACAGCAGCAACAGCAACAGCAACAACAACAACTGTAACTGTCGCTTGCTTATTTTTCAATTTAACTCAATAACGCGACGGACTTAATGCCATTTGGCGCTGGAAATTTGCGATTTACTTGTGCGCTGTGCCACGCCCACAGTCGCTGCCCACTTCAAATAACACTAGCTGGCTGTGTGTGTCTGTGTGTGTGTGTGCGGATGTGCGAGAGTGATTTATGTGCACATTGGGAAATTGCCCATTTGCCCAAATGCCTCTGCCCAGTTCATAGGTCTAAGCAGCAAAAGCTAGCAAAGGGTTAGCTAGACATATGCCCGAGACAAGGGAAGAGTGGGAAAGGGGTGGGGGGGGGGGGGGGGGGTGACATATAGATGTGGCCTGTGGCAGCTGCCAGCCCGAGATGATCTGATCTTGCTGTTGCTGCTTGCTGCTGAATCTATTGCTCATGTTGCTGCTGTTGCAGGTGTTGCTCTTGGGAAATGCTGGTGTTGTCGCGGCTGCTGTTGCTGCAATTGCAAATGTTGCTGCTGTTGGCAAAGTGGAAGCAAAGGGTGTGTGTAGCCGAGATGTGTTAAGAAAAGTGTTGCTGATGTTGTTAATATTGTTGCGAATGTTGCTGTTGTTGAGTAGAACTGTTGCTGCTGTTGCTTCAATTTAATGTTATCTAATGCTTATGTTGCTGTTGTTTCGTTTGTCAAGAAGCAAAAGAAGTGAGAAGGTACTGTATGGTAGGAAGGGGATAAGAAGAATGGTTGCTGCTGTTGCTTCCATTGCAAATGTTGCTGTTGCTGCAAAATGGGTATGGGATATTTTTGTGTGAGACCGTGTTGCTGCAGTTGCTTCTATTGCTCACGTTGCGGGAAGAGTAGCAGACTTTTATTGCCTCTGTGTTTGATCCCTTTGTTGTTTATGTTGCTGCTGTTTATGCTGCTGCGAAAGCAAGCGAAGCGAGTTCTTGTGAACGCGAACTTAACACAATTGCTGTTGTTGTTGCTGTTATTGCCGCCGTCTCTATTGTAAATATTGCTGCTGTGCTTATGTTTTTTATTGGCTATGTTGCAGCTGTTGTTGCTGCTGTGAAAGGTAAAACACAGAACACTTGTGAGCGCGATACTAAGACACTTGCTGCTAGTGTTGCTGTTGCTGTCGATGCTGCTTCTATTGTAAATATTGCTGCGGTGCTTATACCTTTAATGGGCTATGTTGCTGCTGTGAAAGGACGAGCAAGGATTAAGACAATATATTGTGATTGTAGCTTTAACTGCTTATGTTGCTGTTGTGCAAGGGGAAGCAGGCAGTTCATAGGAGACGCGGTACTAAGACAATTGCTGTTAAAGCAACTGTTGCTGTTGCATCTACAGCAAATATTGCTTGTGTGATTGTGTTTTATTAGATATGTTACTGTAAAAGGATGAGCAGAGAGACTAAGGCAATTGCTGCTGGTGTTGCTGCTAATGTTGCTGGTGTAAATGTTGCAACTATTGCTGTACCTTTTACTGTCTATGTTGCTGCTGTGAAAGGGGGCAGCAGGGAGTTATTAACTGAGGCAGTTGCTGTGACAACTATTGTAAATATTGTTGCTTAGTTTGCCAATGTAATACCAACAGCTGCTGCTGCTGCTGCTGCTGCTGTTGTTGGGAACAGGGGAGAAAGGTAATCTATGTTGCTGTTGCAAATGCCGCTGCTGTACATTTTCATGGCCAGACAACTGTTGGCCCAAAGACAACATTTTGCAGCATTTTCACTGACGCTTGACCAGACGCCAAATGTTGTTGCTGGCGTTGTTGTTGTTGTTGTTGTACAAAGTGTCGCGCTTACGAAAAGTTTTCTCTTTTTGCGCCGAGTGTCTTTTGCAGGGGGGCGGGCGGTGGGTTGCGGGACACTTGAAGCGGGGCATTCAGTTAAAGGGGCCAATCTATGCATCTATCCGGCTTTGAGTTTGTTTTCAGTCAAACCCCCCCCCCCCCCTTTCCACTCTTTGCCCCTACCCCTTTTGCGGCATTTCTTTTCAGTTGCAAATTACTTCGGGTTGTTCGAATCTGGTTTTGTGCGGCGGCAACTGTTGCTGTCGTCGTTGTTGTTGCTGCTGCTGTTGTTGTTGTTGTTGTTGTTGTTGTTGTTGTTGTTGTTGTTGTTGCTGCTGTCAATAAACTGCGCTAGCTGCGATTTTGTTATTGTTGTGCATAATAGACACCCTGCGCCCTGCACCCTGCCCTCGCCCCATGCACAGAGTCTGGCGAGCGTCTATGGATCGAATAACTTGAAGCTCATCAAAAATAATAATAAGAATAACAATAATAATAAACAGCTTGAAAAAGGGCGTAGGTAAATACTTTATATGTATATAGGCACATGCTTTATAATCGTTGTCTTTCTTCAGATATATACTGTATATATATATATATATATTTACTTGCAACACGTACTTTATTTTAATGCTCCGAAAACACTTTTGGCTTTGGCCCCAAAAAAAAAAAAACACTCACCACACAATTACAATATTTAAATATATTTTAATATTTTTACAATTTGCAATATTTATTTCTTTCGACAATTTACAACACTGTGTCGCTTGTTTGCACAGCAAAAAAAAATAGACCGATTTTCGTTAATTTTTTTTTTTAATTTTATTCAGTTCGTTGCGTTTTTTTTTTTTATTATTTTGAATATGTTTTCTTTTTCTATTTTTTACTGCTAGTTGCTGCAGCTCGTCGCGTGCTGCTGCTGCTGCTGCTGCTGTTCTATGCGCTCGCAGCGGCTGTTCAAAATAAACTGAAAACTGAAAATTCTCCGCAGTTGCCGTTAAAAATAGTCGCAAATCCCGAGCCGAAGCTGGCGCACACGAGCGACAAAAACGAACAGCAAAAATGTTGTTGTTACTGTTATTATTGTTGTTGTTGCTGTTATTGTTGCCGTTGTCTGCATGCAGCTGCTGCGGCAGCATGCTGCTGTGCAGAGGGGGGGGGGGCTTGGCGGAGCGCGCTATTGCAATCACATTCTACACTCTACACTCTCCCTCTTCGGCTCTCTCTCTCGCTCGCTCTCTCTTCGGTCTCTTCATGCGAACGCACGGCCTGCATACTTATGAATGAGATTTATGTTTAGATTTCAGTGTCACGTTTTGATCCACATTTCAAAATGTTTACAGCAACAACAAATAACAAAGAGCGGAGAAAAAAGAAAGAGCCAGCAAATAAGCAAAGGCCTAGAAAACAGAATTCTACAAAATGATCGCTGATTTTATGGCCCATTTCAGGCGCTGCACAAATTAAGAAGCTATAAAAGAAAAATCGCGCATACGCTCTGTGAACAACGTGCATAAATTAGCAGTAAGCAAGACTAGACCGATCGGGTGGGTACGACTGGGAGATACCCTAGCTAGGCTTGCCTGTAAACATACCCACACACACACACACTAATTCTCATACACTCACCACTCTGCTTCTTCTCTCCGCTGCCCCAGACAAGGAGAAATGCATTCTTGAATACCTTCGGCCTTTATTGTCCGATCTTTATGAAATTTTCAGGACTTAATTATGGCATGCCAACGTTTGCATATACAAAAGCACAAAATTCTTGAACTTACAATTGACCTGCAAAAGTTGGTATATAGCTAATCTTTTAGGTTTTCTTCAATTTGTGTGAAATATTCTTTTACTCTGTATTGTATAGGAGGAACTACATAACAAGTTTGATGTAGCTCTCGGAATCCCCGAGCTATGCTTAAAAATCCAAGTTTAAAAATTGATATTTATCGATTCTATGAAAATGGTAGTATATATAATTTTTGTATACATTGCTTTGACTATTTGAAATTGTGGCGTACTTCTGATGTAGAAGCTTAAAGCTTTAGCTAGCTGCAAAAGCTTTCTATGACTTAAGCTTAAAGTTCTTATGCAACGCGATTTGTGGGGTGCATTCAAAAGATTTATTAAGCAAACCAATTAAAAAAACCTATTAGCTTTGCCATAAATTAAACTCGTTAAACGAAAAGTAGCCGACTTGAGCATACCCTGTATTCAAAAATATCAGCATATGTGATATACATGTACCCTCTTTTGCCTTCTGTAAAAAAATCTTACACAATACTTAAAGATTCCCTTAATAATTTTGTGTTTTTATGCTATAAAGACAATAGAGCTAAGTCAGGCAGCCTCTTGAAAGCATTTCCCAATGCACAGGGTATCAAACTTATGTCATAATAATTAATGTTTATTTTTGGAAGCATTTGAAACATTGATTTAATGATGTAAGTGAAAGCTGCGCTTATTAACTGCTGCATAACCTAACGAAAATAACGCAAAAGCGATTGCGTATTTTATATTTAGCCAATATTTATTTATTTATTGTATTTGTGCGAAAAAGCGTTGGAGCTTCAAAGCTTGCCAAACAGCTGGCCACATGTGCGCGAGCTTACGCTAACGGTACGCACAAATTACGCTAACGTAACACACAGCTGATACGTATTATTATTACGTCGCGTAACTGGCAAAGTTGAGTGTTGGGTAATGGCAAATGCCATTTCCCTATACTCTAAATAGAACAAGGAACAGCACAGCTGCTGTGCGTAATTCGCTTACGTGACGTTAAGGCGTTACGTAACGTAAGATGACGTGACACTATTGTTAAAGTTTAAATTCACATTTCTTAGCCTCATACAAAAAATTTCTTTATTTATGCAAATGAAAAAAAATATAGTCAATGAAAAATGAAAGCAAAGAAACTAAACTAAAGAGCGATATGATGAAAGAAGCGAGAAAGAGAGAGAGAGAGAGAGAGAGAGAGAGAGAGAGAGGGTGAGCAGAGACGCTAACGAGTCATTCTCTGGATCTCATTTGTCTTTGCGCAACTTTTGGCTGGATACCTCGATGGCCTCCAGCCAGAGCTTCAAATCGTCGGGCATCTCCGGCCGCTTGGCCGCCTCCGGATACGTCCTGAGCACATCGCTGACATTGCAATTGGTGATGCACTGCTTGGAGAGGGCAACGGCGCGCACAAAGCCATCGGCCAGTGTGATAAACTGTTGCTCCAAATAGATGGCCTTATCATCCCACCAGACCAGCTTCGTCGTGATCTTGTACGGATGGAATATGGGTATGGTGCGGCGATACCGCACGCTGCTGGCGCCCTGGACGGCGCCGCCGCCGCGCTGACGCACCAGCTCATAAAGATTGGTCAGACCATAGAAATGGAAGCGGGCAAAGTCCAGTTCGCGCAAATAGCGCGCATTGTTCATGTGCCGCAAAAAGATGTCCACATCCTGTGTGGTGCACAGCCCATAAATCGTTGTCGTATCTGTCACCTTGCGCTTGCCCTGGAACAGCCGGCCGGCGAGCACCGTGCAAACGCAGCGTATAAAATAGTTAACATCCCAGATGATGTACAAAATCAACAGCACAACCAGCAGCGACATGGCGACGACTTGGGTTTCTCTGCAAAAGGTTGCCAGACAAAATACATAATTACCAAAAGAAAACCAAAAAAAAAAAAAAACCCGTTAGTGGCGAAAGTTTGTTCACTTTGGTCCGTTATTTCGTCAATGCGGCATGTCGTCAATTAGATGCAAACGTACAAAATATATATATATATATATATATATCGATATCCTGCCAGCTTCTGGTACTTACAGTGGACACTCGATTTACGTGTACGGCAACAGCCCAAGAATGCGATAACGTTGCGACTTCGATAGTATTTATCAGCGATTGGGCAACCTCGGCCAATGCAGACGATCAACTGCCAGCGACAAGCGACCGAAGGCAACTGATAGGAAATATACCGAACAAAAGCTGACTCAAGTGCCAAGCGGCAGGCCGACGCGACGCCAGTGTTGGCAATGCAGCAGCTCTTTTCTGGCTGCACTTGGCCGTTTCCGGCGATCAGTGCAAACTAGCTATAATTAAGCTGTTGATCGAATGGTATTGAAAACTTAGTCAATGTTCTTGTTTTGATTATGTGACATCCGGCACCATTTTTAATCTGGCCAATAATTATATATAGTTAACTTGTGCACATTCGGCTAGTTTTTAGCTATTTTCAATATTAAATGCAGCCACAGTTGTCAGCACTGGTAAAATCAGCTGCAAGCCAAACGAAACTTTGACCAATCGCAGCGGGAGAGCGCAACAGCAGCAGAGCTGAAGTCAGCAAGTAAAAGAACGAAATAGAGAGAGAGAGAGAGAGAGAGAGAGAGAGAGAGGGCCTGGCTTAAAGTTCAGGCCTGGCCATGCTTAACGCAGGCGTCTCAAGTTCAACGTCTAATTATAAACGGTCAAGTTCTTGTGAGAGTCCCCCACGATGTACATCGGCTTGCATACATTACGCGCATTAGGTGCGATGGCCGAGCGCTTATAAATGCTTAATTTAATGCAGCATAGTTTTTTTATACTCTATAGAAAAAAAAAAGAAGAAATGTTGAGTGAAAATTATTTTAAAATGTAACCAAACACAAGAGAAATATATACACATGTTCATAAATTATTTAAATTAGTCGATACATGTTTTAACGAGCCAATGGAAATAGCTTATATATTTTTAAGTACAAATTTCTCTATAAACAAACACTTAATACATAATATAGATAAGGACTAAGTCCAAATTTGCCTGCTACCTGTTAAAAAAACACACTCAACTTGTATTAAGAAATATTTAAAATAAAAAAAAAATATTCGATTAGCAAATCAATGATAAGATAATAAATATTCATACGAAGAAAAAAAGATAATGCCAATTTTTTTTTATATAAGATACCAAGCTTAATATATGCAATAAATAAATAGTAATCGAGTGGGAAGAGTATCTCAAGAGCACTTTCAATTTTGCACACCCTCTTGCTAGCTCTCTTCGCGCTCGCTCGCTCTCTCTCTCTCTCTCTCTTGGCATGCCTACATTTGCGAGCACTTGCACTTGAACTTGAATTTAATCGATTTACCGCTGTTCTAAGCCGTTTCCACTGTTTGCCAACACTTGAGGCACATGACGCGCATGCAAATCGTCAACGATTGACATTTAACACTTAAGAACTAAGCGACAAATTCATTTCAAACAGTGCTGTCTATTGTTTTTGGTATTGCCAGCGTCATCGTGAACTGTTAGCCTGACCATTTACAGTTTGTTTGCATTGTTGACAGTTGCCAAGCTGAGCCTTGCGTCTGGTGGAAACAACTTGTTTACTTCGCACTTTCTCACACTGCGCTCTTTTAACGGGTTTCAACATGAACATCTACAACACAGTATATGTGCATAATAATAGTTGCAATTGGTCTAAGGTCAGCGAAATAAGCAAATAAGGCTAGCTGATCTATTGGAATTTTCGGTTGAACCGAAAAGTCTCGTATTTGGCTAGCTTTTCACTTCCTTATCGCTTAACTAATAAGTATGACTATGCGTTTAATTAGTAAATGGGCGTAACGTCGTCGTTGTTGTTGTTTTATAATTGCCTGCATTGTTGTTGCTAGACAATTAAATGCACTCAAAGCACTCAAATCAGATGATCCTAGTCACGTTAGACAAGCGCAGTCACAGCTATATTAGTTCTAGAAGCACACTTTCCAACACTGTTAGTCAATTACCTGGCTAGGAATAAGGTGCTGCTAACATTTATAAATGAGTCTTTGCATCAAATGCAAGCACTTTGCAGCACTGGATTTTGAATCGGAAACAACCAGAACTCTGAGTGCCTGCTTCTGAAGCAGAGCAAATCACTGCTTAATTTTATTGTTTAATCTAACACTTTCCTTTCACTGTCGAGTCCCTGCTCGGGCGCCTGTGAATTGTGCTGAGCCCCCAAATCGAAGCAGAGAGAAACGCGCAATTTTACAAGTTGGTAGATCTAAGCACATTTTTACTAGACTAGCGCACACACACACACACACACTGACACACACACACACTGGCACACACACACATTAAGTAATTATGGGTTAGTAGCTGTGGATGCTGAGATTACATTGATTCGTCTAGTGTGCACTTAGGGCTAAGCCAAACAGATTCAGATTCAGGTTCAGACCGACTTAAGGCTAGGATTAAAAAAAAAACTATTTAAGAAAAAAAAAAAGAGAGAGTAGAAGAAGAAGTTAGGAAATGTTTAAGCGGAAACGGAATGCCGTGCTCGAGTACCGCAGTGTCCATGGCGTATGAGTTGAGTTGAGTTGAGTTGCGGGAGAGGATGCAGTCGGTCAGCAGCCGCTACGCAGATTCTTGCTGGACATGTCGTTGTACTCGATCCACTTGCACAGCTCCGGCGGCAGCGGCGGCTTCAGCTTGACACTGTACGCCGCCGTCGTCGTCGTCGTCGTGGACGTGGACGTTGCGACATGTCCGTTCTCGGCCTGGGCCGCCTCGAGCGTGGTCTGCGGCAGCTGCATCGCCTGGGCCTGGGCCATGCCCGCCGGCTGCAGGCTGGCCGTGGAGCTGAGCGTGTGCCGCGACGCCTGCAGCGGCGTCGCTGCCGTCTTGGGCAGCAATTCGGCCATCACGCTGTCCATGGAGACATCGATGACCCGCTGCCGGCAGATGACGATGCAGTGGATAAACTGATCCGCGGGACGCACAAACCGATGCTCCATGAACAGCGACTGCTCGTCCCAGTAGATGATCTGCAAATGAGTTCCAATTAGTAAATGCTCCCACAACCGTTTCCACTCCCCGGACATGTGCTGTACACACCCTGGAGATGATCTTGAAGCGATGAAAGGGCCGTATAAAGCGACGATACCGTATGGTGGCCGCGCCCTGAAACACCGATCCGCCCAGCCTGGTTATGGTGCGATACAGCTTGGTGCGCTCATAGAAATCAACGCGGGCAAAGTCCAGCTCCCGGAAATAGCGCGCATTGTTCATATGGTAGAGCAGGGTGTCCACATCGTTGGTCAGACACAGACCTGGCCACAAAAGAGGAGCGTATGGTAAATCAAGATCAGGTGCACGATCGAGCACGGCAAAGCAAACCTACCGTTCACGGTGGTCGTCTCCAGGATGTGGCAGCGTCGCTTGACGAACCGCGCCAGCAGCACGCAGAGGCACATGCGCAGGAAATAGTGCAGCTCCAGCAGGCCGTAGAGCAGGACCAGCGCCAGCAGGCAGCCGAGCGCCACATAGCAGACCAGCTCCATGTCGCCAGGTGCGTGGGCAGCGGACAGCGGCCAGCGGCAAGGGGCGAGGGGCGAGGGGGGGGGGTGCGACGGCTAATTGAAAACGGGCAGCCAAATAGCGCGCAGGGCGGAAGCCAGTCAAGCGCCAAATGGCCAGTTGTCTATGTGTATATCAATATATCTTTCGGGTTTGTTTTTTTTTCTTTTTCTTTTCTTGTGATTAATTTGCTTTTGTGGGTTGTTGTCCTGGCTAAAGGCTGAGGCGGACGCCTTTGAAAATTAGGTCATGTTGCTGACGTTTGCCGCGATGCCGCAAAGGCTGATTGCACACACACACACACAGAGACACACACGGGCATACGGGCACACACACAGGGATACACGCGCGCAGGACCCAGCTAATTTGTTTTGAACAGTTACCAAAATGCACAACAGCAACAACAGCAACAAAAACAACAACAACAACAACAACTGCAAGAACACGTTGCACAGTGGACAAGAGAATTGTTTTCAGCGACGCGCCAACCGCAGCGACAACAGCGCACTGAAAACTTTTTGGCCAAAATGCTGCCGGGCCAGGCAGCGACGTCTGCGCGCTGAATAGCGTCAGCGTCGACGTCGACGTCGACGTTGGCTTTGGAATCGCTTCTCTTGCTGGCATCCTCGCGAAACAGCTTTCAGCTGAGCAGCAGACCAAAAAGCACACGCGCACAAGCCGAAGCTTTTGCTTTTAGGGGTTGAACCTGTTGCCGGCTGCGGCAGCGACAGCGACAGCGACAGCGACTGCAGCCTGTGAGCTTTTTTTTTCCGTTCTGTTTTTTTTTTGTTTTTGTTATTTTCTTTGTCGAGCTGCAGCTTCCGCTGCTAATGGCATCTGCTTCTAACAACAATAACAAAATTCCTTAGCTCTATTTGTTGTTGTTAAATTACCTGCTTTTTTATTCATAAAGTTGCCAAAACAAATATTGCATTGCGCCAAAAAAAAAAAATAAAAAATATATTACAAAAATCACAGAAAAACCCAACACAAATAAATACAAAGTTCGAAAACCGTTTGTTCTTTGAGCCAGTTGCACACTCACACACTCCTTACATATACCCTAACCAAGCAGTTTCTTGGGCGGCTATATTAGCTATTCGAAACTTGCAAGGATTTGAATTTGAAGCCAAATCTAACAAAGCTTTTCCACAGCAACTTTTACTTGAAGCTAAACGCGTGCAAGCTTTCTGATAGGGATAAAAGCTTAAAAAGCAGCTGATATAGAATTGTGAATGATCCTTACAAAAGCGTGCCTTAACTTATCTGTAAACCTGTACAAGAGCTTTAAGTTGATTTATACTTTAAACGAATTTAAATAGAAGTAAAACAGATTTCTTAAATACGCTAAAGGCTTAAAAACTTGCTGTATTTTTATGGGTAAACATTTCACCAAAGCTTGTTGTCCATTTAAAGCTTCCCAAAAGCCAGCCCTCAACTTGTAAATTTTCTAAATTCATAATTTAAATAATGAATTTAATAAATGACTTATTGATATACAAATTTGATAAAAATTCTAAAAAACTGATAAACAAAATTAGAGAAACGCATGTTTGGAAGATTCCACTTAAAATACATTTCCGTAAATCCAAAAGGCTGCATAAAAGTTGCTTTCCATGAAAACAGGCTTAACACAACTTTGGGGCAAAAATATATCTAGGTATAGAGGTTTATACTATATATACGTATATACATAAAATCAAGGGAAATATTTTTCAAAGATTCTCCGAAAGAGAAAGTACGAACAGTTCTGTATATCTTCAAGAAATGTTTTTATGCCTTTGTAAACTTTATCTATTCAATTATATTTGGTGAATATATAGTTGAATATAACGCTTGATTATATTTAAATAATTCCCGAAAAAACTGCTGAAGAACACAAAAATAGTTTCAAAATGTTTGAATTATCTCCCAGTTCAATATTTTAATAACATTTCCGCGCTTCTTTTTGTTGAATGAAAGAGTATTCAAATAAAATGATCTTAATAAATCCCAAGCTTAGAATATTGGTATACCCTTTTTTTCCTCAAATATTGGAGTATTATTAGAAAAAACAAACACATTCGCCCCAAAAGTTCAGTTCCTTTAAGGTTTCTAGACCCATCGGGAGTGCTCGACGAGGAGATATCCCGCAATCCGACGCTAAGCTGATGTGCCTTAGGCAGAGAAATGCGTTCTTGAATAACTTCGGTGCTTATGGTCCGATCTTAATGAAGTTTTCAGGGCTTAAAAATGGCATACAAAAGAGCGCAAATTTCAAAGATCCAGGCTCTATTGTCAAATGATGGTTGGCTGGGGCGAGGTCTCGAAAAGGTGAGATTAGAAACCCAATTTGATGGAACTTGCTTTCATAATTTTCGAAACAAAGGAACTTGGCGAAACTTTTGACTCAGCTTCGTAGCCTGGATCAAGAATCTATATGCTTTATGTTCTCGCAGATGCTTTCATATTATTTACGATTTAATTTTCGAAAAACTTCACATCCATATTAAAAACAAAACAATTCAAGACAACTGTGTCACGAGTGAGCACGAATACGAATTGCTGAATACTCTATACAAAAAAATATAGAAAAAAAACTGTCACAAGTGTAGGCACAAATCGTAGATGCTCTTCACGCTTGTAACTGGTGTGCACACACTCAAAGTTGATAGTTCCGAATAAAGAAAATTTCCAATTAGCAGGTTGCACGTTGTGCACACACGGGAAGTTTGCTAACAAGCCGTGACAAGGGGACAGGGGGGCAAGGGGCGGGAAAATTCATAGTTGTTGCAGTTACATTTTCACTTTTCAATTTATTTGCTTTTGTTTTATGTTTTTTTTTTTTGTATTGTTTTTTTTTTTTGGTTTTTTATCAATTTTTCGTTTTTGTTTTATTGAAAGGTTCAGAACTCAAATCCGGTTCGACTGAGTCTATTGTTGCTTCGATAGGGACAAATATAACATTAAAGCGACCAAATACATATATATATATATATATATATATAGGTGTGTGTACATAAGTATGTGATTCCATATAGGTATATAGGCATATGCAAGTGCTATGTACAAAACGTGTTTCTGTTTGAGCTCCAAAGCGGGCCAGACTCACAAACTCTTAACATTTTCAACTATTGACTGAACATTATTTGTTATTTATGCGTTTTTTTTTTTTTTTTTCAATATTTTTTGTTGTTGTCTTAAATACACTTGCTGGACAGTTGAGCTTAGCGAGTTAAGAACTGTATCCATCCTTGCTGATGGCGTCTGAGCTACCCAAACAATTTGGTGTGAAGTGGATAAACTATAAATAAACCCGAGCTAACATTCGTTATAGCAAGGATAGGTTATTTTTTTTATCAAAATAAACTCTTGAACAAAGAAAGTTGCAAGCAACTACAAAACAGTCCGTTAAAAAGTAAATTTTGCTTAACAAATTTATTTAAGTTTAATATTTTTGTGAGTTTTTGCGATTGTTTGAATTTAAACAAAATCGTTTGACTTTGATGTGAACCAAATTGTTTAACTTTTAACTAGTCGTTGCCAGCAAGGGTATTTGCATATTCGGTGTTCTCCGAATTGTCATTCTCTGTTTACATTTGCGTCTTTTCATGTAATTTGTTGCGTGCGTTATAAATAATTTAAGTTTGAACTCGGTTTTGAATTTCAGTTTTAACATATTTTTTTTGCTCTTTTAGCTGATTTTTGGTTTCTTCTTAACAAACATTTTTGAGACTTTCTGTAAGAAGATGAAGAAACTGAAACAAAAACAATATCACTTACAAATATGGGCTCTTAAGATCTAAACACAGGCAAACGGAAAACGATTTCATTTTTGCATCTTAAACAACTTTTGTGGGCGCAACATAAGGTTAAGGGGGGGGGGGGGGGGGGGGGGGGACTGGTGGCCGGGTGCGATAGCAATGAATACAAGCATATAGTATATATATATACGAGTACATTTAGAGCATAGGTTTCTTTAAAGTTACACATAAGTTGGATATTCTTAATAACTATACATATATATATATAGTGTTATATATATATATATATTTTTATATTATGGGTATGTACAAGGGCAATGCGATATAATTATAATTATTATTTTTTGTTTCAACTAAGCAGTTGGGATTATACATTAATATATGGTTATAGCAAAAATGAACAGAAAAAAAAAAACTTATTAAACAGCATCAAATATACAAAAACAAATCAAGAAAAAAGTTTACAGAAATATTGTTAGCAGCTTAGCGGCAATATAGTGTATGCATATTCGGTTAAGTAGTACGTATTGTACAGTTTATATAGCGTAAGTATATATATATATAGATATATGCATAATAGACAACTTTCGGTTTGGCGGCATGGCTAGAAACTCCTTTCCTCTCTCTCGCTCTCTCTCTCTCCTTCTGTCACGCGCACACATTTTCTCTCCTGCCTGCTCCCTTGCTCGCTTGTGCTTTCTCACTTTCTCATTTCTGCTTTCGGTTGCGTATACAGTATTTCTTGTTTTTTTTTTTTTTCTTTTTTTAAATTTGGATTGGATGGTCCACATTGATTATAAGGCATACAAAATACATACATAACGACTTTCCAATTAAATTTTCTTTCTTTTTTTTTTTTGCTTATACAAAATTTCTTTCGCTTGCTCTTCAACTCTCACTTAATGGCTATTCTCTATCCCTATACATATATATATATATCTAGATATATATATATATATATATATATATATGTATGCAGCATCAATATCATCTCATTTTTCAACTCCTTTTAGCACTGCTCTCACTTTCCCTCTCTCTCTCTCTCTCTCTCTCTTTTTCGTTCTCGCGCTCTCTGTTCGTTTTATCCTCGACATCAATTCAAATTTTGTTTACAAATTCCGATGAATCCCTTGTTTCATGTTAAATTTCACATAGTTTTACGGTAGCGGCAGCAGCAGCAGCAACAATTCCAATTCCAATTCCCATTCCATGCCAGCCAGCTTTCTCTGTTTCTCTGTCTCTTTCGGTCGTTCTCGCTTTCTTTCTCTCTCAGTTGGCTGCTTGGCAGAGCGCCTCAAAATCGCAGCGCTCAACGCTGTCCGCATAGTTGCGTCGCAGCGTTGACAGCGGACAAAGATCGTCATCCTGTGGACAGCCGGGCAGGCGCACTGCACGCTCCTGATGCATTACCAGCACGCGCGGCTCCCTCTCAATGCAGCTGCAAGGGCATATAAATCATTGATTGAAACATTCTTCTTTTTTTTTTTTTGTTTATGGGGTATACACAGGCACTTACTCGTAGCGCACAAAAGCCAAATTGGTTGCGAACGCATCGATTTCACTTGTGCGCCAAAGACGCCCGCTCTCAAAATCCTTGTGCGTCAGCGGCCGCTCATCCCTTGCCACGCCCAGATGGGCCAGCATCTTGAGTAGCGTGCCCGAATGTGTGAAATAGAAGGTGGCATTGGCGCGCGGCCTTGGCGTGCTGAAATTTATATTAATTTAAGTAATATATTATCAGATATATATATATCTAGCTACTTACTCGAT